CTGCATAAGGACTTGAATTGGTAAAGGGAACTCGAAATTCTACTGTGAACCCAAATTAAAAAATCCCACTTGGAAGCCAATCCGGAATCCTAATTCGGTAAGTAGGTAACCTCCGCAGGGACGTAGATGAAACGAATCGTGACCAGCGTTTAAGCTCGTTTAATTGATTGTGGATTAAACGCCTTTCAGTTCAAAAAATATGGGAATCCATACAGAAAAGAAACGACTCCTCACTTTTGTGATGATGGGATTTGGTAAGTTCTAGTTCTATTCAAGGTGAATAAATAGATAAATGACTAGACAAATAGAAAATGGCTACCCCTCGAGAGAGCATATGAATGAGAATCCGAGGCAATTTTTATTAAATTCGGATTACTGCGAGATCGAATCATTCCACACCAGAGATGTTTTACTGCGACCTCCGTGTCAGTACGACCTGAGGACCTGATTAAAGGTGGCTTCATTGCTAGCAAAAATGAGTATTCTCCATAAGGGTATGATGTAGTATTTCCGTGTTACTTATTGGAGTAAAAATGTGTATTTTTTCTCAGTGTATTTTGTACAAATATACTTTTGTTTTGTCTTATTATTTTCCAGTGTTGCAAATACTCATCCAGGTTACGCTGTAAGTATGCCGAGATACACTATTTACAAAAATGATTGCGTTCAAATGGTATTATTATCGGCAAAACATATGTGATTGTTCCAATTTTCAGCTCAGTCTATTTCCACCAAGGTGATTTTATCAAGCATGATCCATTAAGTATATCAGTAAGAGTAACCAAGCCACCAACGAAGGTTGCCAAAAGTACACCGTCAAGTGCTGAACCCACAGCCCTAGGTCAGGGAGATTATATCCCACTAACTACACATGTACAACGGCCAACAACAGCGGTTTCTAAAGGTAACTCTTGTAATACTGATGGTTATAGTGTGAACACAACACAATCTACGCTATTAGAAAGGCCTGGTGTGCGGGATACAACCGGAAATAATAGAGTCTCAAATTCAAGTGGAGAAGATAGAGGCCAAAAGCGCAACAAGGCTCTGGTAAGATGGTTAATTAGTAACGAAGATAAATTAGCGAGTATGATTACATGTGGGGATTTCATTTGATTGTAATCGGAATTCCAGTGATGTTACGTATTATCAACATTGCCCTAGTCTAGAAGCGACATAGGAACAAAATGCGAGGGAAGATGCTTATAGCAAGTCACAAGTAGCCCCCCTCTGCCTTTCTACTCCTTTGCCTGTTTTTTTTTTTTTCTTTTTTCTTTTTTTCCACTCTTATTCTATCTGAAGATCTGATCCTGGATCTAGATACAATTATACCCTCTATTAAAGATAATTTAATGCGAGTTTTTATCATTGAATTCCGGCCTCTTTTTTTTTTTTCTGTTGTGCAATTTACGGTACAAATGTCCAAATACAACGTATTTGCAAAAGTGTTTTTGTAGTAGGATACATAACCTCGCTCACCGTTGTAAAAGAACAAATTATTTGGGAAAATTCAGATAGTAAATGAATGAAAGGTCGATTAACTAACTTAATTATAAACAAATACCTCACATTTTAACTTTTGTCAACACCTAAAATGTAACTTTGCTACCACAAACTCACCTCGAAACCGATTTTTTGTTGCCAATGAACGTGATTTGAGAGAGATAGAGACAAGAGAGGATTGATAATTTGTTTATTGACAAGAATTAAATTTAAGGAAAATGGTAACGAAGGTACGGATAACTTGGCGACTCAAAAAAGTGTTACACGTGTTCGTGGGCAGAGAAAGGAAAACCCGGACCGTGCTAAAAACCAATCGGATTGCAGCAGAATTCGTTGCTGTACCCTCTAAGAAAAGCATAAGAGAAAATATTTGTCGAGTTGCGTGGTATCTTTCACGGCTCCCTGGCGGCAAGGAAAAATACGAACAATAAGCAAAATGACTGTGTTGTTTTTATCTGTTAAGATCTGAACTAAATGCTTATTATTCCACCAATATTTCAGTTTCACGCAAAGTGTGCACGAAACGGTCGTAAACACAAAATCATTCCTAGCTCCTTTATGAAATACAGAAAGAAAAAAGGCTGTTTCGCTTGAAGACTTTAAGAGCCCGTGGTTTAAAGGTTGAAGCCTAAAGTTCGTAAAAATAACAAAGTTTGGATCCTTTAGTGAGGCCATCTTGTTGTTCTGCTTTCAATTCCCTCCGCATTTTTGCACAATTTTAAAGTGTGATACTGGTCTATGTTTATGAGCTCTGTTACCTTGATATGTTAGAATGGGGTCATTGTGGAGTAGTAATTCAGAAGTAAGTTGTCCTCCACGAGCAACTAAAATTTTCAGATAGGACACATCTTCTCACAGCCATCAGATGACGCAAAGGTTAAGGAGAAACGAGAATTTCTGAAGAGCAAAGGTTGCTATTCTGCGTCGTTTGATAAGGTAAGAAACTTGC